AATTAACGAATTCAGAATAAAGGGGCTCGCTTTGACCGTTAAGAGTAGGTAACCTGTTCCCTGTCTTTGTTTCTATCTCATCGTATCACATTCTGTTCTGCGAGATTTGAAAATCACCGTCAATACCTCGGTGTTTCGAAAAGCTATATTGACACAAGCATTTCTCTAATTTGTGAATTAATTTTAAATTTAGTGGTTGGTGTAAGCCGATTTTTTTTTAACATTTGATTCAGTATTTTGAGTTACAAATATCTGTTTTAAGCGATTTAAAATTTATTGAAAATGTTGAAGTGCAGTCATGATAAATATATGATCGATAAATTTTAAATATCAAAAATAATTTTATATTAATTGTGAAACATAAAGTCGTGGTTATTTATATTTCTTTTCAATCACAATCTCATTCCAATGTCCTTTTTTCGAACTTTATTTTCTTACAGTTTTTCATTTAATTCGATATTTCATGATATGAATATCTATTTGGATCGATTTAAATTTTTTTAAAAAAACTTAAAATGTGATAAGGATAAATATATTATCGATTAAGTTTAAATTATTAATCTTAAAATCATAATCGTTAATTTTTCTTTTCTACCTCACCTCACACTCGACCTTCATACTCACACCAATTTCTCTCAATTTCATTTTTTTTTCAGTTTTTATGGTTAAAAAGGGTAAATTTATGGTGCCAAAATGGATATTGAAGGAACCCAATAAGTTTGAGAAGAATCTCCCTACATCATGCAGTACTGATAAACAAACATTTTCTATGAAGTGGATTATTTTAGTTTTTTTAAAATCAATTTAATGTACAGTATTATTAGAACACCCTGAAAAGATATTCGACAGAATTTATGAAATTATGTGATCATTTGTCATTCTTTTTTCCTCTATGATTGAATTTTTCGTTGTGTTGTGGTTTTAATACTGATAGAGACCCTTGATTTGTCCTAAATTCTGCATTGTATTATCATTAATTGATTAATCTTTACTACATACGTGCATCGGGTCTTGGTAAAGAAATGAAATACTGGTGCAACTAATACATGTAACTCGACGATTCCAAAGTTGTTGTGTTGTCCCCAAGCGAACTTTCCTATTGGGTTGGCGAGTTTTTGTTTCTAAAATGGGTTGATTGAAATTAAGGAATAAGTGCAAATGGGAAGACCAAAGGCATGAAATGAAGTTTGAAGGGAAGACCGAACTCAAAATAAGATCGGCAGACAGCATAAGGGGAGCTGTCCAGGCAGGCTCTTGATCACCTATCCACTGCCATGATTTTCCCCTTTTTTTGAGTCAATGCGTTGTGAGCTTAATACTAGAAGCTATTATCTGGCTACTGTATCACGGACTATGCCATGCATTTATTGCTGCATGCTTTACATCTATTAAAAGATAAGATATTACAAGCAAGGGTATAGAATGGAATTATGGTTGAGGAGAACCACTATTCATTACTAGAAACCGGTGTGAAAATTTCTAAATCATAGGTGCAACAACTTTTGTTTTGTCTTGTTCTTTAAAAGGGACAACAACTCGACTGAAATGTTGTATAATTCTAATCAAATTGTATTTTGACTCAAAATTTCATGAAAATAACGTTTGAATTTGTAACGGGGTTTCCAGTCTTTGTTGGTTGCTATTATATCAAATTACAGAGTCGTGTACCATGGAAAGATCCTTCGAAACTATAGTGGGGTAATTGAGAGATTTTTTGAGTCATCACTAGTTTATTTATGATATGAAGTGGGTATCATGCTATAGTTGATGTTAAAATTCCGTTCTTGCAGCTACTGTGGCAAGGGATATCCATTTTTTCGTTGTTAGCAGTTTGCTCCATAAGGTATGGTTTAAGGTTGGTAGACTAAGCATTTTTCTCTGTTGATATATGCTTATTAGTTAACTATTATTAGCTATAAAATCTTCGAGCTATTTCCAATTAGTCTTTATCAAATCTAAGTTTCCAGAAAATGTTTTTTGGAATGTCTTCGGTCCTCCTCAAGAGTATTATGAAGAAAAGAAAATTTGGACCCCTAAAATAATAAGAGCTTTATCTGGGAAAGTGAACTGAATTTAAGTTAAATGGTAAAGACCAATTCAAAATAAGGCTGGAACTTTTAAGAACTCAGAGGGTCCTCTCAACTACAGGAGGAAAACAAGAAATTAAACAGGAAATAGTGGAATAGTGTTCATGTTGTTGTTATTGCTAGATATAATGGGGGATGTAAAGGAATCAGATGCTGCAAAACTAGCATAGACCAAGCTAATTTATAAGACCTGTAAAATTTGTTTTCTATTTAGAGCATATAAAACTGATCCTCTTTTTTCTTCAATTTATATACGGTGAATCTGCCGAAGTGATATCTTTTATCTTTCTTTCTGTGGCAATTTAACAGGAGCAAAAACCATCCTTCTCAGTCTCACTTGTTGGTTCAAGTTGCATTAAGGACATGTGGTGGTCTAGACAATTTGAAAAGATTTATGTTACCCTTTCAAATGATGAAAAGTTGTACCATGGATCTGGTCAAAGCCCCCTTGATTACATTATGGACAATGATGATTGTGGTATGACTTTTATCTTTCTGAATTAGTTCTCTGAACACGAGTTCGGTGCTAGATGAGTCTAACAGAATGCAAAAGTTTTAGCTTTCCAATGTCATAGAGATATTTGTATGCACCTTTTGCCTTTCATACATCTATTCTTCAGCTCATTGAATGTAGTTAGAATGAAAGACCATTCAAGGAAATACTAATGGACAACATCCTTTTTTGCATGAAGAAAAAAATCTCTTCACTTCCAAAGGAACTAAGTTGTTTACATTGTTATTGACCATTTTTCTTCCAATCAAATACTTGATCCTGTTTCATAGAATGTATATAACTTGTTCAAACGTGCAACATATGGTATCCTTTTCTTTTCTGTATATTTTGTTTACTCTCTCTTTTTTTGCGCAAGTTGATTGGAGTTTGAAGGGAAATTTTATTGCTGTTTGAGGGAAAATGTCCTCAGCATTTGTCATCTCAATTTAGTGAAAGGTTGAAGTAGTTGCTTCCACTCTAGTCAGTCGTCGGTGATTTTGATGTTAATCAAGTTATAAAAGGTAATGGTCCAGATTATCAAAAAATTTCTCTCAATTTTTTATAACTGAATAGAATTAGAAATTTTGTAATCTAAATGAAATATTCCATATGTTATTTTTAAGTGATGTTCTTTGTGAAGCACTGAAAAAACATAGGACAAAGAAGGTACCTATTCATTTTGATTTGGTATTAGATGGTTAACATTAACACAGTTTAGTGAAATATCAGGTCAAAGCTTTTTGCCATGCATGTTCATTGATTATTTAAGCAAAGGCAGTGGAATTATTAGGTCCACAGGAATTTTACGGTATAAAAAATGAGTAGAGTTTGATACTTTCCCCTAAAAGTCTGTAGACTATTTGGTGGGAATTCAACAGAGTTGCTGAGAGATTGAAATTCAACTTAAAGGTAGATATCACTACTTTTTAACTTAGATTAATAAAAATTCTCATTTCATCCATTATTGGATTTGTAGAAACTTTCTTTTTTCTTGTAGATATTATTTGTGGCGTTCTTCTTCATTTCTTCCACCGACCAAAATTGTAGCTCCGAAAATTCAATTGACGATGTCGTTTCTACTTCTTTATCTCTGAAAATTTAAATCTGCCTATTGAATGTGGATTTACCTGAATAGAGGAGCAATTTTAGTTCCTGGCTGAATGGAAGAGCAATTTTTGTCTGGTAATCATCTTTATTGAATAGACTATATGGGCTTTGTTCAGGTACCTGGTGATCGGTTGAGATTATTTTGCATTCCCTAACTAGATGCATGTAATGAACCTTTGTCTATTAACGAAAATTGTACTTGCATGGACATATGACACAAATGCTAAAATTAAGGCAGATAAATCTTTTAAAGTTATATGGCTGGCTTCCAGGACATTTGGCTCTTCCACTCAAGTTATGAATTAAACTGGTGGTCCGTACACATTCTCCGTTAAATTGCTTTGTTTTATTAATTGGAGGTTCGAATGCTTGCAGATATTTATCGATGCATTTCATGACCATTGGGTTCCATTTTGAAGTAGATGATGACTCCATTCCAGTCCAGGTTCTATCTTCAACCAAACATTAGTTAGTCCCAACAATCTTTATGGTTGTATAAGCCCATATATAAGCTTCTCAACTTGTTACATTACATCTGTAACACCCCAAAAATTTTAGAATAAAATTTTGTATTCAATTTTATGATTTTGAAAGTTGAAGGACTAAAATAAGGAATTTTAAATTCTTATGTTTTAAATGGGTCAAATATTTAACATTTTTTAGAATGACCAAAAGTATATNCATTGGGCTCATTTTGTAGCTCGTATTAAATAATGTAGATTGAGCTCGAGAAAATATGAAATCAGATAAGTTAAGCCCAAGTTATTTCAGTTCAAAGAAGTATGATATAATATGTATTACTTTATTTTATAAAAATGTATTTTTCAAGATAATTAGAAAAAAGAAAATAATATTATATTAGATAATCACGTTTATATTTTTAAAAAAATGAGATTAACCGATCAATTATTCCTTTTTCAGTTTTTGCACGTGTATTATATATATATTTCTGAAAGATAACATTATATAATATTAATTATTAGCCATGTTTATCTTTAAGATAATTTGACCTATCAAAATTTTAGTTCTAACCAACCATATATTCCTTACCCCATTTCAATTTCAATGTATACGTGCATTGTAGATATTTATGCAAGAATATATTATTTTATTAGTCAATCATGTTATTTTAATTTTGGAATACAAGATTCATAATCAATCATGTTTCTTCTGTTGTGAAGTTATATGTGTACTTAGTTTTGAAAAAATAGTATTGTATTATAAAAATTCAATTTTCTAATTTATGATTGGTTGGTTGACTGTATTGATAACATTTCAAAGCAATATTATATTGTGCAATAATTTATTCTTATTTATCTTATCAAATATGTTTGAAGATTTCCAATCTGAGATTATGATTTCGTATGAAATTTGAAAGTTTTTGTTATGATTGGATAAAAGTTCTCAAGTGAATAATATTTATTGGGATACGTTTCTACACTCCTAGTACATTAGGATTCTACTTTTTGCCCTATAAATACCTATGCATAATCACATTATTTTACACATCATACCAAGAATAAGAGAGTAAAGAAGAGAGAGAAAAGAGAGACTACTTTTACTCACGTGAAAGAAAGAGAGAGAAAGAAAGGAAGAAAGTAGAAAAGTTGGAAAAGTCAAAAGTGCTTACATCATTGCCATACACGAAAGCAAGGAAAAGTTCTGGAACGTGTCATTTTAATTTCTTCAGATGTTTATTTGATCCATCTACGAAGATATTTATGTGCAAACTTATTTGTTTTCTTGTACCTTTATG